GCGCCTGTAGTTCCAGCTACTTGGAAGGATGAAGTGGAAAGATTGCCGGAGCCCAGCCGGTCGAGGCTGCGGTGGCTGGAAGTGTGCCACTGCACTCCAGTCTGGGCGACAATGAGACTCCGACTCAAAAAAAAAAAAAGCGTAAGGGGAGGTAGAGGAGATGCCAACCAGCATCTCACCGTGTGTGCCACTAACTTATCTGTCAATGCATTCAGTTAATCCTGTTGGAACAATGACAGGAAGCCAGCAAAACACGCCAGGGGGTCCTCTTAGGCCTCAATCCCAGGCAAACATGGTAGGTATGGATGACGAGACATAGGAAGGAGCTGGAAAATTCCACTGAAGACAAGTCTAAAGGAAGCCAGGATCTGGGTGGGGTAAGTCTTAATAAATGGTTGGGCACAGTGACTCATGCCTGTAATCCCAGCACTTGGGGAGGTGAGGCGGAAGGATTGCCTGAGTGCAGGAGTTCGAGACCAGGCTGGGGAACATAGCGAGACCATGTCTCAAACCCGTGGGCTCTGGCGATCCTCTCGCCTCCGCCTCCAAAAGTGCTGGGATGGCCGGGCTCAGTGGCTCAGCCTGTAATCCCTCCCGCACCTTTGGGAGGCTGAGGTGAATGGATTGCCTGAGCCCGCGGGTTCGAGACCCGCCTGGGCAGCGAGACCTCATCTCTACAATAAATCAAAAAATCAGTCGGGCGTGGTAGTGCATGCCTGTAGTTCCAGCTACTTGGAAGGCTGAGGCGGAAGGATTGCCGGAGCCCAGCAGGTCGAGGCTGCGGTGGCTGGCAGTGGCCACTGCACTCCAGTCTGGGCGACAGAGTGAGACTCCGACTCAAAAAAAAAAGTGCTGGGATTACAGGTGTGAGTGGGCACGTTTTCTAAGACTTAATGTACTAGCTTCCTAGGGCTGCCATAGCAAGGTACGCACCACAGACTTGGGTGGCTCAAACAAGCGAAATGCCTCGTCTCACAGTTCTGGAAGCTGAAGTCCCGCAGCAAGGGGCAGCCGGGGTTGGCTTCTTCTGAAGCCGTGGACAGGATGTGGCCCACGCCTCCTCCCTACCCTTTGGGGGTTGGCGGAAAACCTGAGGGGATCCTCAGCTCGCAGATGCATCACCCCAGTCCCAGCCTTCCTGTTCACCTGGTGGTTTTCCCCGTGCGCGTTTCTCTGTGTCCGAACTTCTCCTTTGGGTCAGGACACAGTCACGTTGGATTAGAGCTTACCCTAATGACCTCGGCTTAGCCTCATTATATCTGTAAAGACCCCACCTTTGTGTAAGATCACATTCTGAGGGACTGGGAGTTGGGCTTTTGTGGGGGGATTGGAGTCTCACTCTGTCGCCCAGGCTGGAGTGCAGTGGCAATCTCGTGGCCACCGCAGCCTCGACCTGCTGGGCTCAGGTGATCCCGCCGCCTCAGCCTTCCAAGTAGCTGGAGCTACAGGCATGTGCCATCATGCCCAGCTAATTTTCCTTGATTTATTGTAGCGATAAAGTCTCGTCACGTTGCCCAGGCTGTCCTCAAACTCCTCGGCTCAGGCAATCCTCTCGCCTTGGCCTCCCAAAGTGCTGGGATTACGGGCATGGGCCACGGCACCTGGACATTTGGAAGTCCGGACTTTAGCATACGAATTTGGGGGGTGGGAGAAACAATTCAACTTAACTCTTATTCCTTACCTGCAGGTGGGGATCCTGATACAGTGATGCATCATGTCACACAATTGCAGTGGCTGTGGAAGTGTCTCAAGATGCTTGGTCCACAGATGCTCAGTGGACATCCGGTAGGTGTGAATGTGCATAGGCCTTGCAGCTGTCCGGTTCAGCCTGAACCCCTAGGGAGCAGGACTCAAGTGGGCGCTCTTCCTGCGAACAGGTAGCTTGGCCTGTGCTTTCTTTTTTTTTTTGAGTGAGAGTCTCACTCTGCCACCCAGGCTAGAGGGCAATGGCACGCTCCCGGCCACACAGCTTCCATCTGCTGGGCTCAGGTGATCCTTCCGCCTCAGCCTTCCAAGGAGCTGGAACTACAGGCGCGTGCTACCACTGATCTGTGCATTTTTATGATGGTTAAGAAAGGCTGGAGAGGAAAATCTGGCGATAGGTGAGCCAGGGCTAACAAAGGTCAGCCATGCTGGGCTCGGTGGCTCAGCCTGTAATCCTGCGCCTTTGGGAGGCTGAGGTGAGTGAATTGCCTGAGCCCGCGGG